CTTATAGATAATATATGGTTAGATCTTGATTTTATATTCAATCTGAGAGTCTGTCTTTTAATTGGACCATTTGGGCTATTTACATTTAATGCAGTGCTCAATATGTTTGGGTTTAAAATTACCAATTTGCTATTTTTTCTATTTACCCTATCTGCCACTATTTGTTTATTTATTTACTTACTTATTTATTTTCTCTCTGCTTTTCCTGGACTAATTCACTATTTTAGCATTCAAATTGATCTTTATTATCAATTTTAACATATCAATTTTTTCTGTTTATTTGCTATTTTATTACCTGTATCTCCTTTTTTTTTTAAAAAAATGATTGCTCTAGGTTTGCAACTTATCAAAACTACCTTCAAATAATAATATATCAATTGACATATAAGAGCCTTACATTATGTTTCTACTTCCCTCCTCCTTTCTTTTATGCCATGTTTGTCATTAGTTTTACTTCTATGTCTGTTTAAATCCCAGAATACATTATTACCATCATTGCTATTATTATTATTATTGCTATAATTAATTCTATTTTAAAGAAATTAAAAAATGAGAAAATAACCTTTTATATTTGCCTACATATTTACCATTCCTGATGCTCTTAATTCCTTTATATAAATCCACACTTGTCCTTTGTCGTTATCTCCTGTCTGAGCAACTTAAAAAAAAATTCTTTTTGGAATGTATGTCCCCTGATATTGAGTTGTCACAGTTTTGTTGGTCTGGAAAAAATTTTTTTATCATAAATTTGAAGACCCTTTCAGCTGCACATGGATTTCTAGGTAGACAATAATATTTTCCCCTTTTGTTATTTTAAAGATGTCAGTCCATAGTCAGGTTTACATAGTTCTGACCAGGGTTATACAATAATTCTTATCTTTGTTTCTCTGTATAGACTATTTAAGACATTCTTATCACTGGTGTTCAGCGCTTTACGCTGTGCCTCACGTCACTCCATTTGTGGGCATTTGGATGTGTGTCTGATATCTTGTTTGAGGCTCTTTTCTGTGCATTTATAGTTTTCATCAAACTTGGAGATGTTTCAGCCACTGATTCTTCCAGTTGTTTGCCTTCTCCCCCGCCCCCTCCTTATTCTGGGATTCCAATTACGCATATCGCAGACTTCTCAATATTGTCTCACAGGTCACTGAGGCTGTGTTCATTTAAAAAGTCACTTTTCTCTCTGCTTCATTTTGGATAGATTCTATTGCTATGTCTTCAAAGTCACTAGTCTTTTCTTCTGCAGTGGGAAATGCTGTTGATCCCATCCGGTGAATTGTTTCATTTCAAATATTATATTTCTCAACTCCTGAAGTTCATGCTAATTTATTCTTTTTTATATCTTCCATCTATCTCCTCACTAGGTTCATGTCCTTCTTTATATACTTTGAACGTTATATTAATAATTATCATCCTGTTATTTCGAGTATCTCTGTAATTTTTGGATCTATTTTTATTGATTGCCTTTCTCCTGGTCACATTTTCCTTCTTGTCGTATCTACTATAAGAAAAAACTGGCTCTGGACACTGTAAATCTTACACTGAGTGTTCGGATTTTTGTTGTATTCTTTTAAAGAGGACTGGGTTTTGTATTCGTAGATACTTAAATCACTTTCAAATCAAAGCAATCTTCTTAAGGACTGTTATTAAGCTTTTCTAGATAGTGCTAAAGTGGTTTTACTTCAGAAATAGTTTAGTCCCACTTCTAAGGTGTGACCTCTCAGGAATACCCATGAAATGCTCCAGTGATTTCCAAAGATTCTCCACTATGGATGATCAGAATTTGAACACTTTCATTCCTATGCAAGCCAAAAACTCCTCACCATTCTTAGAACAGTTTTGTACAATTTCACTCTTTGTGCCTCCCAATACTTAGCAAAGATTCAAAGGGACCTTCCTACAGATTTCTAGAAATTTTTAAAGCTTCCTCATATCTAGAACTTCCTGAACATATGTTCTAAAATTCAATAAATTAAATTCATAAGTGAGCATTATTTCTTAAAACTACCCAATAACATACAACTAATCTGATTATCATCCAAATGATAACATGTGTTACTATTATTCATATTGATAACTTCTATCTGTATTATCTGTATACTTAAGTCAATAACATAACTGAAGAAATGAGTATCATTGCTTTGATACTTACTAACCAACAAGTAACTATTATTATTATTATCCAAGTGATTAAAATACATCACCATTCTCGGCCTTGCCTTATCACTCGATGCAGCTCATTGATAATTCCTAAGTGGTAGCAGCAATGGCAGGATCAGATATTCTGTGGCTCCAAGTCCTTTCTTTCCTCAAGAGCAAGCTTAGGCCCAGGGCATTTCAGGTAGCAAAATATGCCTGTATCTCAGTTCGGATTCCCCAAAATCAGACTCTGAGAAAAGAATTTCAGTACAAATAATTTATTTGGGGTAGAATTCTAGGAAGGACACTGAAGGGGTAGAAAAATGAGATATAAAGGGGGTACAACCAATAAATTATGAGTTAATGAATTGTGGGTGACTTGGGTTTAATACTTCTGGGGACATTCTAAGAAAATGGACGGAACACATCTGAGAATGGTTGCTCTGAGGGAACAGAAAACTAAACTCTTTACCCACATACCTCCACCCCTCACTGGTTGAGGGCTGCTTCGGAAGCGCTGGCTCCCGGCCTGCTCCACTCCTGAGAGCGGAAGGGAGCATGGCTGATTTTAGTCCTGTACCCAGACAACACCCTCAGGACAGGAGAGTCCCGGCATCCACCGCTGTGCGGGGACTGTAGGCAGGTGCTCTCCAGGGTAGGTGGAAGGGATATGGGTGGGGCATCACCAGGGTTTCCTTTCCTTAGAAACAAGAACTCATTGAAATCTCCTTTTCTGTTTACCCTAATCAAGTGCGATCACACCAAGCCCATCAACATAAAGGGAGAGGAAAGGTACTGTAAGTCAGGTGCTCACTAAAAGAAGCTCGGCCCTGCACAACACTGTGGCTGAGGAGAGAGACAGAACAGTTACTAACAGTTGCTGAATGGGCCAAGGTTAAAAACAAACAAACAAACATAGCCTTTAAGGAAACCAAACTCTTGGCCTCTTCAGCGGCTGTCTTCCTGGGACCCTGTGATCATCTGCCATGAGGTCTGTGATGCAGGTGGGTCTCCACGGCAGGCACGCTCATGGCTACTGAGGAGTGGGTTTGTGCGTTGTGCTTTCTTAATGAGGGGACTCAGCCCCAGTTCCCAGAGAATAGTTGTGGCCATCGTACTTTCAGTTGTTCAGGTTTTTCTCCCAGGGATGTGAAGGGTTGGGGAGGAAGGCTTCCCATAGCATACAGCACACAAAGACTCTAGTCCAACCAGTGGCCAAAATGATCAACTTATTTTGATGCCTGAAAGAATCCTGCCCAACCTAAAGCAATATAACCACCATTTTATCATTAATTTTATTTTCAAAGTGAATTCTTTTGAGAAACAGTACTCAGGGTGGATCCATATGAAGACAGAGTCAGGACCCCATAAAAATAATTTAATTTACTCTCACCATACCCTGAAGTTCCTAGATAGGAGAGATGCCTTTATTTATGCAATGAGGGATAAGTCTTAATTATAAGTAGTCCTGCAGTAGGTCACAGTCTGATTTAACTTCCTTCCTTCATTCGTTCACTCCATATGTCAGGTACTGTTTTAGGTACTGGGGATATTATAGTGAACAGAATAACCAAAGTCTCTGCCTTCTTGTGGCTTATATTTAATTGGGAGAGACCAACAATAAAAGGTTAAACATAATAACCAACTGTTCGTAATTGCTAAGGCTTCCATGTAATTGCTAACTGCTTACCCTGATAAAGGGTATCAGAGGTGCAGAAATGCTGGGTTGTTATTTATAGTAGGTGGCTTCTCTGATAAGGTGACTTTTGAGTACAATAAAAAAATAAGCAAAGTAAGAGTGAATACCAGATGTGCATATGTCTGTGAAAGAGTATTCCAGAATGAGAGAGAGCATGGGGAAGGACCCTGAGGTATAAGGGCATGACTCATCATTCTAGACCAGAAAAAGAGACCAAGAACAAGGGAACTAAGAGAAGTTACAGGAGAGAGGTCTTTATTAGATTTAGGTGAGGTTAGGGCACTTGCCAAGCACATATGGCTGTGAAACACTGAAGGGATTTGGTCATTGCTCTGAGTGACATATGAAGCCATTGGAGGATTTTGACATACACTTTTAACGTATCCCTCTAGCTGTTGTGGTGGGCCAGGGGTAGAAGAGCAGAGCATTAAGATGCTATTATAACAACCCAGACAGGAGAGTGGAGGCTTCGGTCAGACCGGTGCAACAGTTGCAGAGATGGTGAGGAGGCACTGAATTGTAGATATACGCTGATAGTAGAGCCACAGGATTTGTTCATATGAATACAGGATTAAGGGAGGAGTCAAGGATGACTTCAAAATTCTTAATATAAGTGACTGGGAGGCTTGAGTAACCATTTCCTGGTGTGAGGAGGACTGTGAGAGAAGCAGGTTTGGTAGGAGAATCACACCTTTGGTTTTGGTCATAGTAGGTTTGAGATGTCTTAGTCATCCAAGTGGGCTACTGAATATATGTGTCTGGGTTTCTGGGACAAAGTGCTAACTGGAAATATATGCTCAGAATTCATATTTACAGCCATGTGACTAGAAGGAAGCACGGAGGGAATGAGTGTACTTACGGAAGAGAAAAGGCCCAATGACTTAGTCCCAGGCTTAGAATCAGGGCAAAGAAAGTAATCAGTAAAAGAGACAGAAATAACAGCCACTGAAGCAGAAGGACATTCAAGGGAGAACATGTACCAGAAGCCAAAGGAAGAAAGGATTTCCAAGGAGGATGGGAAACAGTGATCAATTATATCAAAGGCTGTTGATGGAACAAGTGAGGGAAAGATGGAGAATTGAACATTGGATTTGGTGTCAACAACATTTGGGGTAAATGGTTGATATGGGATCTTTTCCTGGAAATAGGTCTCTTTATTTAAAAAGAAAAAGGCAATCAAGCACCTGAAATGGAATGAAGAGGAAGAGTTTACGGAGAAGGAAGTCTGAAGGCAAATAAAACAAACTTCGGTAACTATATGCAAGATTCCTCACCAACCTTAGCCCCAGGATTGGAAAGTGTCAAATGAGAGACTTGGTCTCTATCCTCAGTTTTCTCTTCTGAATAATGGGAATATTGATTGTAACTACCTTATAGGGTTATGGTTGGGAGTCAATGAGTTAAAACATGCAAGGTATTTGGAATACTTCCTGGACATAGTAAGTTTAAATATTGCTGTAATTATTGTATTATCATCACCATGTTTTATATTTTTATTTTCCATTTAGCTTGGAAATCTTATTAATTTTATGACATTATTATCATCTTGCTAAGACCCAGTCACCCCTGATGGCTACTTCTAATGTTGTATTGCCAAGGTAAGGTGGATTTGCTTCCTCTCCAAATATTAGTCATGTCTTCCTTGTTGTCTTCTTGGTAGGAGCCAATTTTAGATCAGGGTAAACAGATTAAAGAAAAAAAAAAGGAGTTGGGAATGCTTTTCCCGTGGAAAAGCATTTTTACTTTTTTGATAACCATGGATTGGTAGATACAACAGGCTATACGATCTTAGGAGTTTAATCTTAGATCCGCTTGCCCTGGATAAAATATTTTCTTAGAAGCTGGTCCCTGAATTTGCTGTGGCTTTGGAAATGGCTGCTATCCATAGTTTATATCTTTTGCCTGGTGTTTCTGAAGTGTTTACACTGCCCTCTCCAGCTCAAATTGCTGGGCTTACTTTGTTTCATCTGGACTTTGTTTTACACCATAGTGATTAATCCACTTGGTCTGTGCCAAAGTCAGCTAGCATCTAAGTACTCCTTGTAATTTCCACATCCAGTGAAGTAATTCATCCTAGGCTGGCTTTTGTACATGATAACATATCCAACCCTTGTCTGCAGTGCATATGGGACCTCAGGTGCAGCATCAAGATAGAAATGTTTAAAGTTAATTTCTTGCTTTCTTTCATCCTCTGTTTTTCAGATTTGAGGGAGAGGCTTCAGGGACATGGGACCGGGATTGATAAAACACAGACGAAAAGAAAGGGCCAAGAGAAGGTGACAGTGAATTGGTCTCTTGTTGAGTCTGGTCTGTCTTCCCTCCTGGAGGCAGAGATGGCAGCAGGAAGCCGTCTCTTTGCCAAGTCACACAGTCGGTGAGGTGAGCACTGCTGCGGAGGAGGCAGTGGGAGCCTTCGGCCTCCACTGTTCTTTAACAGATGTGTCAATCCTCTATTAGATGTGTCTTTTGCAAATATTTTCTCCCAGTCTGTGGCTTGTCATCTCAGTCTCTTGACATTGTCTTTCACATGGCAGATTTTTTAAAAATGAAATCCAGTTTATCAATGATTTCCTTCATGGATCATGCCTTTGGTGGTGTATCTAAGAAGTCTTTGCCATATCCAAATCTTCTAGACTTTCTCCCATGTCATCTTCTAGTTTTACAGTTCTGTGTTTTACTTTTACATCTGTGGTCTATTTTGAGTTAATTTTTGTGAAGGGTGTAAGGTCTACATATAGGCTCATTTTTTCTTTTTTGGCATGTGGGTGTCCAGTTGTTCCCATAGTATTTGCTGATAAGACTACCTTTTACTACACTGCTTTTACTCCTTTGTCCAAGATCAGTTAACTGTATTTATTTGGATGTATTTATGGGCTCTCTATTCTGTTATATTGATTTATTTCACAACTCTTTCACCAATATAACACTGTCTTGATTACCATAGCTTTTTAGTAGGTCCTGAAGTTGGGTAGTGTCAGTCTTCCAACTTTATTCTTCTCCTTCAATGTTGTATTGGCTATTCTGAGTTTTTTTCTCCTCTATATAAATTTTAGAATCAGTTTATCAATATCCACAAGATAACTTGCTGGGATATTGATTTGGGTTGCATTTCTATACATGAAGTTTAGAAGAACTGACAATACTGAATCTCTCTCCAATTACTTCATTTATAAACTAGTTTATTCAGTTCTTCTTTGATTTCATTCTCAGAGTTTTGTAGTTTTCCTCTTAAGGATCTTGTGCAGTTTTTGTTAGATTTAAACCAAAACATTAATTTTTTAAATTGTGCTAATGCAAATGGTATTGTTTTCAATTTGAAATTCCCAATTCTCCTTTGTTGGTACATAGAAAATGGATTGACCTTTTTAAAACAGTTTTTAAATACTGAGGTACATACAATAAAATGTACAAGAGCAGCGTACATCTTGATGAATTTTGATATGTGTATACACTCAGGAAACTGCCACCTGGATCATCTTAGAGGAAGTCAAGAGAGACTGTCCAAAACTGATAGATCAAGAAATGGAAGGTCAACTATATTATGTAAAGCTATAGAAGTATCTAATAAAAGAATAAAAAATGAAATGTATCTGGCAGTGGTTACTGTAGAAAAGTGTAAATAAACCAGGATCCTCATTTTTCATAAGGGGCCCATCAGATATACTTTGAAGGTGATACATTGAAAATAAGAAGGTAATAAATTATTGTGTGGAGGTTGGCCTCAGAAGGATTCAAACAGAAAAAATTTAAGCTGTTACCTCTAGAAAATGCTTTAGAGAAAGACCTTTCCTTAAGAAGAAAATTATTCTCCAGCATCAACTGAATTTTGATTGCCATGTGCTCATACTTTAAAAGAGATATTTTTAATTTAAAAATAGTTTCTAGAAAAGAGAAGAATTTTTAGGATTAGAGAAAATGATCCAAGAGCTTGCAATTATATACCATCTAACAGCATGGACCATCAAACATTTTGCAAACATTGTCTGATGGTGAGTGTCAGAATCTACATTTGCCAGATGGCGAAATTCAGACAAAGATGGAAGTGACTTACCCATTTTCACTGCATCTGTGACCAAGTCAGTGATAAAACCCAGGCTTCCTGGATTCTGAGTCCAAAGACGTATTTGGATTGATTTCTTCTTAGAAAAACCACCACATATTGGTATGACGATAGTTAAGGAAGAAATCCAAATTAATAGATGGCACACTCCTGTGTTTGAGGCTTGGAAAATGCCTGTATTTTTCCATCCAATAATCTGGTGCCAATATGCACACTGCCTGTCAAGAAAAAGGCCAGTGCTTCTCTGAAGCACCTAATGGGAATATATGTCATTTCAAAGAATTATACCTGCAAAAATAAAGAAAAAAAAGATAATAACTGTAATAACCACAATTAATTTTTAAATCTGACTGTGTATATAAATATTTCTGCCATTTTGTGGCCACTTAGGAAACTATATATGGTTAAGTAGCTTGATAAATAATTCTGATTATTCTGCCATATGCCTTTATTATTAATTCAGACTACTAGCACAGGTGGAAAGGAGAAAACATATTTGACTAATCTGGCATCATTTTATGAATTGGTTTCATGCTTAATGTGAATTTCTTAATATTTATTTATGACTGGCTTCCCTATTTGATTAAAACTGGTAGGGAGGGAAGGGGAGTCCTTAAATGATTAGATTCTTTTGTTTTGTCAGTACAGCGTCCTCCCCTTCCATCCCATCCTTAAAACCACACAAAGACGGTTCTGAAAATAGGTCTATACCAGATGATACTGGTGCAAATGGTCAATGGGAGCATTGGACCACACTTTCAGGAAAATTGGGAAATTTTAGAAGAATCTGCAAGAGGGAACTGTGAGAATCCACACTCAGTCTGGCTGGTTTCTTGGAAAAAGGAGAGCTGTTTTAGGTCAGGCACTATTGGTGGTCATAGTTTTTAGAATGTGGATTGAAAAACAGAAAGGAAGAAGAAAGTAGATATACAGAGGAGCAGAGATGAGAGATGAATGTGGTGACCACGAATTGATCTTTTTTAAAATTGTGGTAGAATATATATAACATAAATTTACCATTTTAACCCTTTTGAATGTACAATTCAGTGGCATAAGGTCATGCCACTGGCATAAGGTCATGTCATTGTAAAAAACCATCACCACCAGCCTTCTCCAGAACTTCTTCATTTTCCCAACCTGAAACTCTGTACCCATTAAACAACAACTCTGCTTCCCTCTGCCCACAGCTCCTGGCACCAACCCTTCTACTTTCCTTCTCTAGGAATCTGACTATTCTGAGAATAAATCATTCTCACAAGGGTACTGACTGTACCACTTAGCAATTTATTGTCACTCAGATGTACCCTGCAATACATGCTGTGCAATAGCAGACAGAATTCCTTTAAGGATTTCTCCTTCACAAGAGCACCTGTTGAGCTTTGTAGGAGAGGGCGTTGCAGGGACA